GTAACCACCATCTGGGAGATATGGTTCCTCCTCCTGCTTTCTCCAGGCTTCTAACTGCTAGGCTTTTGCTTTGTTTTTACAGTTGTTAAAGGATCATAGATTTAGAGCTAAAAGACACATTAAAGGCCAACTAGTCCAACCCGTTCATTTTACAAACAAGGAAACTAAGGCTCAAAGAAATTAAGACATTTGCCCATGGTAACACACAATAAATATGAGAGGACTCCAGGTCCAGCACTCTAATATTCTCTGCTCTCTGAACTGCCTTTTTATCTGTCAATCTGCCAGTAGTCACTTATTACTGCAATTAGCATATCTGACCCCAACTAATTTATCTCATCTGAAAAACCAGATAACTCAAATTATTAGAATTCTATGTAAAATAATAGTAAACAGTTTCTAGTTCAAAGCCTGGGGGGGAGAAGTCTTTCCTAGAAGAAACAGTGTAAATTTTATTACATATATTTTGTAGGCATCTGCGTTAATTATAAAGAGATGAGAATGACAATTAAGTGACATCTGGGTAAAGAAAGTATTGATGCTTAATTCCTGTACTTTGGGGAAATTAAAAATATACCAATTTTCTGGCATCTGTAGTTTTTAAAACGCTATTAATTTATGCAAACACTTAAAGGGAAAGAACCAAGATATACAACATTTATACCCTAAAGTATTTAAATCCACATAACAGGCAGCTTAAAACTTGAGTATATTATTTAAAGCATGCATTATTTTTTGCTTCAAATACCCTTATTAGCTGCTTCTCATCTTCATTTTAAGGAGGAAACTGGGGGAAAAGATTCATACCAAGTGAGTGGAACTGATTCGAAGAACATCTAAGCTTCTTGAGAACAGGAGGTATGTGGATTCTGTCTTTGAATTCCCCAAGCTTAACACAGTTCCTGGACTTAATAAATACACTTGTGGGAAAAACAGAACCTAGAACTGAAACTGTGTTCCTTCTTACAAAATCAATGCTTCTACCACAAGATTACATTGCTAACAAGTTTACTAGCACATTTTTCTCAACAATTTAATTGTGCAGTTAAAAAAAAAAGACAACATGCAAGATCCTCTGTCTAAATATGCTCGAACAATAAAAACTTTTTAATAAAGTTGTTTATATTACCTTTAAGTGGAAAAAGCACATCTAAAAAATGCCATTACCGTAAAACATTTCCCCACAATACTACAGTCATACCTCATTTTATTGCGCTTGGCAGATTATGCTTTTTCTTTTTTTAACAAACTGAAGGTTTGTGGCAACCCTCTTTCACGCAAGTCTACTGGTGCCATTTTTCCAACAGCATGTGCTCACATCATGTCTGTGTCACATTTTGGTAATTCTCACAATATTTCAAACTTTTTCATTATTCTATCTGTTGTGGTGATCTGTGATGAGTGATCTTTGATGTTACTATTGTCATTGTTTTGGGGTGCATAAACCACACCCATATTAAGATGGCAAACTTAATTCATAAATGCTGTTACATGTATGGACATATTTATGTGTGTATATGCATCTTACATATCTTTCATGTACAATTTATGTATGATCTAGAAATACCTATGGCCACTTCCATGTATTATTTAACCTAAAGATTTATGTGGATCAAGGAATTCCAAAGTCTCAAGACATAATTTTTTTCCCCTTGACTTTCAATATGAAGACAAATTAAAGCATATTTGTATAAAACAAATGCACTTAAAAATAATTTTAGGGTTAATAATAACCACAAAGACAACATTACTAATTATTGTTCTTTTAACCTTACAACCAATCAATCTGTGGCATTTCAATAACTCATGAAAAGTAACTGAAATAGTTGGGTTTTTTTTGTGACTTGTTGAGTTCTCTAAGGAAGAAAAAAAAATCAAAAACTGGTAAAGCCAAACAACTGCTGTCTTCTCTCTCAAATTATCTACGTTAGAAATTATGGTATCTGAATGTAAAGGAATATTAATGTGTCATCAAAAAAAGACAAAAATAAGTTTCAGTAACTTTTTTTTTAATGAACTGAAGAGAACAGAAGGAAGGCCAGAATGAAATACAGTCTAGTACAACAGCTTGGAAAGCTATATGCTGAATTTATTATATAATTAAAAGGAAAAGCAAGCTGTACTTAAAAGAGATTCATAATTTCATGTACATGCTCTTTTTTCTTGTTTTTCTGATTTAGTGGTTCTTAAGGTGAGAATAAAAAAACATCAAATTACCTACTTGATGGAAGACATCACACCAATTTTTTAAAAATGCAGTCTATAATGATGAAACACCTTCCAGAAAAGTGGTAGACTACAAAAATGAAGTATACTTTGTCAGACATAGCCAATTTTTCTTTTTCTTTGTTAGAGAGGGATGCTTCCCCTTTTTTTGAGGTGATCATTGAGAAGTGTCAGTTACTATTTTAAAAAATCAATAAAATAAGCCTTTTTAAGAGAGGAAAAGGAGAACAGTCTAGCTCCTTCCTTCCCCATTTCCTACTAATATTCTCAGGACTACCCTCAACCTTTAAAAACTCTACTTTTCCTCAATTTTTCCTTCCTTTCACCATCAAACTGAGACACCTCTTTTCTTCACCTCCTAACCACCTCTTCCCTTCTCTATCTCTGGACATCTGATTTCTTAACCCACTATATCGAAACTCTTCAAAGTTACCAATAATCAGTTAATTGTCCAGAGTCTTTTCTCAATAAACCTTCTATACCCCTCTGAAGCTTTTGATAGGGTGGTGGATGGGAGAAGATAAGTTTGGTTTTGGAGTAGATAGTAATGCAGGACTGGACTGGAACTTGGGAAAGAGAACAGGGCTGCATAACCTAGATCTGGGTTATAAAAATAATTAAATCTATGGGAGCTAATGAGGTCACCAACAGAAAAAGAACAGATAAAGAATCCTAGGATAAAGCCTTGAAGGACACCTATAATGAGGTGGTCATGATATGGATGACAAATGACCATAAGAAATTAATTAACAATAGTGGGGGGGGGAGGAGAGGGGGGAGTGAAAAGGAGAGGAGGGGGAAGGAGAGGGAAAGGAGGAGGAGGGAGGAAGAGGGGCAGAGGGAAGGTGAGAGAGAGAGGGAGAGAGAAAGAAAGAAAGAAAGAGAGAGAGAGAGAAAGAGAGAGAGAGAGAGAGAGAAAGAGAGAACCATCTCAAAAATCTAGAGAGGAGATAGCATCCAAGAGGAGATAATAGTCAACAGTGTCAAATGTAAATAAGTCACGAAGGATACGAACCAAGATAAAGTCATCACATTTTGTAATTTAGAAGTCACTAGTTGATGCACAGTGCGTTGCTTCTTCTCAGAAAAGGATGAAAAGAACCAGGAAAACAATATAAATAATGACAATAGAAATGGGAAGAATGATTGACCTGGCCTGGTTATCAAAGAGCTATATAAAGACTCCTTATATTTTTTTAAATTTTAGCTGTGGAGGGGACCATGAGTGTGGAACACTGCATATATCCAATTTTTTTGATATGTTGCCTAGTTTTAGAAATCTTTTTTTTCCCTTTCTTCTCTTTCATTATTTAAAGTCACAATTCATTAAGAATATTAAGTTGCTGAAAAGATGCCAACCAGTGCTGACAGAATCATAGGTCCAGTAGCCATCCTTATTCTGTAAGGGAGGACTCTAGGAGGGGAAAGACACAGTAAACAAATTTTAAAACAAAATATATCAATAAAATTTACTTTAAAAATTAAGAGATTGTGACTTCTAAAAGTTTCTGTTACATGGATGAGTTAGGAAAGCCAGCCTCTAACAAACCAGAGAAGTGAGAAGACTTAAAGTCGAGGCAGCACATATGTAAGTCAGATTTTTCAAGTAGTTAAATAGGATCACCACTTTGTAGGGCTGATAGTCTAGAGAGGATTTTAAGATAAGAGTTGATTTTAGCAGGTTTGCAGTTAGTTGAGAAGAGATCAATAGATAAGGTGAATACTAGAGAGCCCAAGAATGATAATGGGACCAGATTCTGCTAAAGAAGAAAAGGATGTTGAGATTGAAGGCAAAGGTGGAAGGTTTGGCCTTGGAAAGGCTGGAAAAGACTGGAGTATCCAAAGAGTACTAAAATTGGAGTGAGGAAGCTGCAAGGTTTAAAATCCTGTTTATTAGTAGTAAGTGGCAACTCAAGTCACTTAGACCTCTCTGAGCTCAGTATTACTGAAGTGCCTACTTCAGAGTTGCTAAGTAGTCTGAGATCTATGCGAAGCACTTTACAAACTTCACAAAATGTATATAAATGTCAGCGTTTACTGCTTAGCAGATTCCAAAATGTTTAACTCAGTCAGTCTTACAAGGATGACAAAAATTGCCAGATTCTATTTGGAATCATAACTAAAGATCGATAACTTTCCCTCCAGCCCTTCTATGCACTGATCAGTGACTAGTTCCTTGAATTCTAAGATCTAAGTTTTAAGGGACCCATTGCACATTTTAACTTGTGTAAGGCACGAGGTACAGAGTTTTTAAAATTATTGTTTGTTTTTAACGATCTGATTCCGTAAAAAGGTATTTGGGAAATATGGAGGCCATAATCATGAAGGATGCAATGAAATTTCAATGTTTATGGTCGGTCGATGCAGGGGCTCGGTTTATTTGCATTATTGCAGCGATGAACGGCATTTTGGTCACCAGTTCCCCCATCCAGTGCAAAGTTGTGGTGATGGGAACAAACTGCACATCCCATGATAGTGCTCGTGGAAGCTAATGGCTTAGGCTCGGAGGGGGAGGCACTGAAAAGCCAAACTAAATAGAAATCCGTCCCACGGCGAGGATCGGAAAGCCTGTTGTTTGCCAGATACGACTCCTGCCTATGAGCACTAGCACAGATAAAGGTGGGGGGGTCCTCACAAAACTGGCGCACCCCAATCTCCCGTCTGCACACAGGCCAGGGAGGTGACTGCCACCCCCCTACTCCTTCTCCCAGGGCCTTCCCTGCCCCCATCCTAAGAGCAGGAGGAGCCGCCATCTTCAACTCTTCCTTCCACCATTATACAACCTCTCTTCTCCCCACTGCCCTGGCCCGCCTGCAGCCTCCTTTCCCCCCTCCCCCAGATACCCCCCCAAAGCCTAAAAAGCTGCACCAGGCTGGGTCGGTGGAAGGAGCAGAGCCGGAGCTTCTCGCCGGCCCAGTCCCTTTAAACGGTTCTGCACCCCGACACCTTAAAAAGTGCCCCCCCAGGCCCGTGCAACCCCCAGCGGACGCGGCGGAGACCGCTCGACTGGAGGCGGCGACCAGCCGCCGCCCGCTTCCACCCAGCTCCCTGGTCCCCTCCTCCTCCTCCTCCCCGGCTCCCTCCCGCCGAGCTGCACACCCCGCGGGGCGGCCGAGCGCGCCTCCCCGCGCCCCCCCCCCCGCGCCCCCCCCCCGGCTCGGCCCTCCCCTCCCCGACCGTCCACCTCCCCCTTTTCCCCGCCCCGTGCAGGAGCGCGCGCAGCGCTCCACAAGGGACGGTTTAGGAGCGCGCGCCTCGCAGCGGGGCCCAGCGCGGCGGCTCCTTCCAGAAATTTCCTCCTCCATAAGCTCACGTATTAAAACAAATACTGTTTAAACCCTATCCAGAGTGCAGGGTGGCCCACCTCCCTCTCTGCCTTCTCTTCCCCCCGCCTTTCCGGTCCCTCCTGCATTCAAACGCGCCCCCCCTCCCCTTCCCCGTCCCTGCTCCATGCCCTTGGGCGCGGTTTATGTGGCATCTCTTCTCCCCACGAACGACCTGGGCGGCAGCAGTGGGGCGGCGGCAGGGAGGCCGGTGTGATTGATAGGGACGGCGGAGAGCGGCGGCGGCGGCGGCGGCGGCGGCGGAGCGGTTGAGTGACAGCTTACCTGGGTGCCAATCTTCATCACACTGACAAGCGGCTGCAGCAATCGGGACCCGCAGTGCCGCACCCGCGTCCAACCGTCACGCCGACGCCGGGCCACGCGACACAGCCTCATTCAATGGAAGGAGGGCTACGCCGACGCTCACCTTATCAATATTCAAAAGAGAGGCAGGGCCCTCGCAGAAAGGGCTCCTCCCACCCCGCGAGTCTGCGTGCAGGGGGTGGGGACTCTGGGAGAAGGGGCGGACTGGGAGGGAGTTCGGAACGCATCCTAGGCTCTCCTGCCCCTCCCCCCTCCGCCTCCACGCTTAAGATGAACAGGCCACACCCCTAGCTTTTTTTTGCTGCGCAGTGAGGGAGGAGCCTTTGACCACGCCCACTCTTCGGCTGGCCAAAGTTCCGAAGGTTTTGAAAATGTGCTTGTTGGGTGCCCACCCCTTTTTTCACCCGACCACCCCAGTCTCCCTGCTTCCCTAATGGTAATCTCGTGGCTGGCGTGCAGGGAAAAAGCCGTAGAGGGAAGATGATCCTTAGATGGATGAAACCTTCTTCCTCAAACGGGAAGAGAGACGACTACCAATGCACTGCTTTCCCCCAAACGCAGAATTTCACCCTCTTGAAAGAATTGATTAGTTTTCTTCTCTCCCATCACCAGCCTAAGTTGCAATGCACATTAACCTAGCAACCTTTTTACAAATTATTGCACATTCCTTAAAAATTAAAGATTCGAGTTGACAGCAAAGTAATCGCTCGGGTGATTTTTAACAAGACCACCAACACAAAACTCAAGACGAACTTTTCGAACCTTCCGACTTCGGGCTGCATTTCTTCAAAGACTGAGAATTGAAAGGGACCTCAATGGCCATCTTGCCCAATCTGTACCTGAAAAAAGAATCCCATTTATGGGACATATGGTCCAATCTTTGCTTAAAGATCTCCCTTTGAGGAAAAACACCCTATAGGAATGCAACCTGTTCATTTTTGAATGACAGTAAATTGTTGGGAAATATTTCCTTACCTGAAGCCTCGATTTCCCTCTTTACAATTTCTGCCCATTGCTCCTATATCTACCTACTGGGATCAAGAAGAATAAGCCTATTACCTTTTACAGGCTACAAACCTTCAAATACTTGAGAATAGCTATCACATCACTTCAAGTCTTCTCACCATGCTAAGCCTTCCTCAGTTCTTTCAGTAAGTTCCCATATGCCGTGAACTCAAGGTTCTTCATCATCCAGCCCATAAATGTCTTAGCTAAATGGTGGCACCTAGAAACACGCTATATGTGTTGTGAGCAAAGTAGCGTATAATTGGTCTATCTTTACCTAGTTTTATAGCTTAGAAACTATATCCAAGATAGCATTAGCTTTTTTTTTTTTTGCTTCCATGTCACTCTCTGAATTCATCTTGGGTTTATAATGAAAGGAAAGAAACTAGCATGTTAAGCATAGGTGTTTTACTGTACTCACAACACCCCTGGAAGGTAAGTGCTAATATTATCAGCATTTTACATGTGTGGAACCTAAGGCTGACAGAGGTTAAGTGACTTGCTCAGAGTCACACAGCTAGTTAAATGTCTAAAACAGATTTGAACTGAGATCTTCCTGATTTCAAGCCAAGCACTCAATCCACTGTGCCATCTAGCTGCCTAATCCATTAAAACTCTTACCTCTATGCTTATAATTATGAAGTTGGTTTTCTTGAACAAAGGGTAATATTTTATGTTTACCCAAATTCTCAAATGGATGCATGATCTCTTAATGTGCAAATTCCATCTAGGGGTGCAGATTACACAAATGCCATCCATCTTGTTCGGTACTTATCTATGTCCTCTCATAAATTCACCAAAAGGAGGAGGCTATCCTTATGTTGGCTTGATACTAAAAGGATTGCTTGTGGAGGCTTCTTATTCCACCAGTAATGACTTGTCTCACTATGTGACCAGCTCATCTTCTTTCCTTAGCACATATTTCCTTGATGACAATTTTTATTATTGTTCTTTGAAGTTCTTCCTTGGTTATTTGTTATGTGTTTACATCTATCATGTGTCTCTCCATTGCCTTCTGTGTGATATTTATTTTCAATTGTAATATTTATGAAGTGCTTTGCCTTAAAAAGCTATATAAATAAAATGTTATTATTCAGGAACTGTTGTATCCCATGTCTCATTTCCATGCAGTAACACTAATAGAATGTTAGTATTAAAAAGAAGAAACTTTGTTTCTGGGGAAAGTTTGGACCATTAAAGGTGCTTTGCAATTTCTCAAAGGCTATACAGCCTGCTCCCCTCTTCTCGTTCAGCTCTTAGCCCATGTAATTGTCCATGAGAACTCTGTTTCAGATACATACGATGATGGACAAATTTTATAGTTTGTCCATAAAAACATGTCATAATCTAGGCAATAGACATCCTTTATCCATTTGGCTCTTTTCTTTGTGGATTCTCAGGCTGAGAGGTTATTTATCTCTATTAGAAACCTCTTCAGTATTCCTAAACTAGATACAACCAGTAAACAACAAACCTGGAGGACATCGCCATTTATGGGTAATAGATCTTCAACTTGAACTCTGCTGGATCTACTCCAACACAATAGCAACTACTTTTGTTGAGCATGTTTCTTTTATACATTGATATTTTTAAGAACTTTTTTCACTTGATAGAAATCCATCTTTCTCCCTCCCACCTCCCCATCTCATGAAAAAGAAAGAAAACCCCTTATAATAAATATTCATAATCAAGCAAAATAAATTCATTCATTGGCCATGTTCAAAAAATGTATCTTACTTTACACTCTGAGTATGTCACCTCTGTGTCAGGAGCTAGATAGCATATTTCATTGTGAATTCTCTGGAATCCTGGTTGGGCACTGCATTGAGTACAATTCTTAGATCTTGCAATGTTTATCTTTACAATGTTATTGTTATTGCATAAATTGTTCTCCTGATTCTCCTCAGTTCACACAAATCTTCTTAAGTTTCTCTGAAAACTTCCCTTTTAACATTTCTTAAAATACAATAGTATTCCATTACATTCCTATACTATAATTTGTTCAGCCATTCCCCAATTAATGGATGACCCCCTAATTTCTGCTTCTTTGCCACAGCAAAAAGAGCTGCTATTTTGGTGTGTATAAGTCATTTTCCTCTTTCTTTGATCTCTTTGGGGACATAGGCCTACTTGTGTTCTGGGAGGGTCATACCACAGACTGGTAACTTTCTGGGCATAGTTCAAAATTGCCTTCCAGAATAGCTGCACAAGTGTTGTTGTCATCGTCATCATTGTTGATCTTCATTCTTGATGAGGATCAATTCAAGACATGCCCCAGGAAAAATATCAATGCAATTCATTGTCATATGAAATATATCCTGCTAAAACATTTTTACATTGGTTAGATTTCCATTGAAGTTGGTTTGTGATGCTTTTATGGTATGAACCAAGGAAAAGTAAGATGAATTGATTTTGTGATATTTGCTTAGACTTTTCTAGAAAATATTATTTTAAACGAATGCATAAAGATTGACAAATCAAAAAAGCTAATCCTTTTAAGTATATATCTGTATATATAAGTATATCTGTTTTCCAACAACCCCTCTAATATTCACCATTTTCCTTTTTTATCATCTTTGTCAGTCTGATAAATGAAGCAAAACATCAAAGTTGCTTCAATTTGCATTTTTCTATTAATGATTTATAATATTTTTCATATTTTGTGGATAAAATGGATTTGTTCCTTTGAAAATGGCCAGTTCATACTTTGAGCATTTATCTATTGGGAAATGGCTCTTAGTCTTATAAATTTGAATCAGTTCTTTATGTATCTTGTTCATGAGACTTTTATTTGTTAAAAATTTTTTCCTAGTTACTTGCTTCCCTTCTAGATTTGTTTGTTAAAAAAATAAATTTTTAAATGTTATATATTCAAAGTTGTCCATTTTATCTTTTGTGATAACTTATTTAATTCCAAACTTTTCCCCTGTACACGAATCTAAAAGGTAATTTCTTCTTTGTTCCTCCGATTTGTTTATAATCTAACTTTTTATTTAGGTCATATATCCATTTGGAGCTCAATTTAGTGTATGGTATAAGTGGCAGGACTAAACTTAATAACTGCCACAATGCTATCCAATTTTCCCAGCAGTTTTTTTTATCAAATAGTGTGCCTTTCCCCCAGTAACTAGAGTCTTTGTATTTACCAAACACTATAATTTTTGTTTGCTTCTGTATATTGTATACCTTAATCTGATACAGTGATCAATCTGTTTTTTAAACAGAACCAAATAATTTTAATTATTACTACTTTACATTACAATTTGAGATTTGGTACTGATAGATTCCCTTCCATCCAACTTTATGTTATTATTATACTTTAGATACTTTATTTTCTAGTCTTCCACATGAATTTCATTAATAGGTTAGTAAATTAGTAGATAAATTAATAGGTTCGTTACTAGGTTGGTAAAATATTTTGGCAACTTGACTAATATGGTACTGTATATGCGAATTTAAGTATTGTCATTTTTGTCAAATTGGCTCAATCTATCCATAAGTAATTAATGTTTCTCGAATTATTTAGGTCTCTCTCAATTCCTGCAAAGAATATTCTATAGTTAGATTCATAAAATCCCTGGGTAAATCTTGGTTGTTACTCTCCCAAATATGTTATAGAATCTATTGTTATTTTGTGGAATTTCTCTTTCCAGGTCTTCCTGCTAGATTTTGCTGGATTTTTCAGACACACACACACACACACACACACACACACACACACACACACACACGCAAATACTGAAGATTTATATGAACTTATCTTATGTCATCCAATTTTGATGGAGTTACTAATTATCTCAATAAATTTTAGTTGACTCTGTAGGGTTCTCTAAGTATGCTATCATATTATAATGTTGCAAAAAATCAGTAATTTACATTTTATCTATGCTTATTTCCTCAGTTTCTTTTTCTTGGCATTACTACAGCTAGGCCTCTAATTCTTCTCCTTTAAAAATAATGTGGTTTGTTTTTTTTTTAAATTTAGGCAGATATTATTTACTATATTAAGGAATGGCCCATTTATTTTTATGCTTTCT